CTCAAGGTACCCGCGGGCTGGGCTGGGCTGCCCCGGGCCGCCCCAGCCCCGCGCGCCTCTCACCGTAGCGTCTCTTTTCAGATGCCGAAGGGCGTCGGCTTCCTGCTGCTCTCCCTCATCCTTCTCGCCGCCCTCTCGGAGACGCTCGGGCTCGTCCTGTCCGTAAGCCCCGCCGCCCTCGGGACGCGGCCGAGGGCATCGGCTCCGCCGCAGAAGCGACCTAGGCAACAAGCAGGCTCTTAATTAAGAGCGTTGCAGCAATATTAATAAATGCTATTAGACTTCAGAATATTAGTTCCCCGGGGCGGAGAGGAGGGTCTTAGAGTAGACTTCCATGGATGTCTTCCCGTGGCTGAATGGGCTCCCACCGGAACGAGTTCGGGAGCCCAAGCAGGAGTTCAGGGGAAAAAGCTGCTCTTTGCTAAGGTGATGGCCGGGAAGCAGCCCGCGCTTTCCGCGGCTGGGGAAAACTGCTGCTGCCGAAGTGTAAGTTGTGGCTGTGTGTCTATAGAACCGCATCCGCTATCTGGATAGCAGCAGCCGAGCTACCAGCTAGATAGGGAAAGGCAGGAGGCCACCCCCTACCCACCTCAGTATCGGCTCCTCTCCCTCCTGCAAAATTCCTCTTGCCCCCAGAGCCCTGGGAAGGTGCTTCTGCCCCCAGAACCACGTGTGTGTGCTGCTTTCTTCTCCATCTGCGCTCACATGCATTTTTCCTTTCTCTCTTTAAGGCAAAAGAAAAAAGAGGGTGGACCTTGAACAGTGCCGGTTACCTGCTTGGACCACGTAAGTTGACTACTCATTTTGCGTGTGTTATTTCAAAACTCTAAAGCTTTTTCCCTTGCTAAAGCATGCTGCCCACTTTGTCTGATTAGCAGTGTTTTCTAAATCTGTTAAGAGACTCAGTTGGGAGAGTATTTGCTTAGATGTTTATTTCCTGCCTTGCATAGGATCAAGTCATTGTAGGCAATAACTTGCCTTTTCTAAAGCCAAACTGTGCCGTGAGCCAGGTATCTGCAGGTGTGGCGCAGCAAACATGAAACTACCCAAATTTGTACCTTGGTCTCTGAATTCAGAGTTGCATGAGACTGTTTTTCCTGTGTAACTGCTACAATTTTTAATGGCATTTGACTGTATTGAAAATATTTCAGATTTAACAGTAAATCTACTTGAAAATGCCTCCACTACCTTGCTTTGTGTTTTCTATTTCTTTCAATAAAAACAAAACAAATTAAAACAATAAAACAAAATTAAAGATTGTAAATATTAACAATTCACTACGGGGAAAATTATCTAATGTGTATTTGAAGTTGGGACATTGGTTTATGAAGACTGAGAGCCCAAATGCCTAATATAAAAGAACATTTAAAACAGCTAAGTGCTGCATTTCCTCTCTTTCTTTTATCATTATTTTGTGCTAATTTAATAATACTCATTACCAGTGTTTGCATATTTTTGATCTTGATGATACCTGACGAGTCTCCCAGATACTGACTGTTACTATCCATTAATATGCCTGTTTTCATTCATCCTCTTTCAAGGATACTTGAAAGCAAATTAATGTGTCTTAAATGTGCTTACTGGCTCTGTAAATGTCTAAGTATATTGCCCCAAAGCAGAACTGACTGAATTGGCAAAGAGCCTCTGGGGAAATGTACTTGCCAAGCAGCATGTACCCAAGGCAGGGTAATAGGCGTCCTCCTTCATCCTTTGTTGCAGGTCGTATTGATCAGCTTTTGCTGATAAAGGAAATGCCCATGGCAAGGGGGAGAGAAGAGGCACCAGGGGAATGTAAGATAGTTTTTGAAGGTTATTTATGTAAACTAGTTGCAGCTTACTGTTAAGCAAACTCATTGGTAACATCTTCTAAAAGCAGGGGAAAGAGCAGCAAAAAATAACCCCCTAAATTAAGCATGAATGTACAAACTTGCATTTCCTGTATAACTCCCACTTTATTCAGTAAGAGTCTGGGTGAGTGTGTGCTACAGGACTGGCTCCATGACTGATACAAATCATAAGCCCAATTTTGGAAGAAATGCTATTTAGTGACATTTTCATTACAGAAAATGCTTCTTTGTCACTTTGCACATAAGCAACACTCCATTAAAAGCACCCATCGTGTTCTGTTCTTTGAAGTCCATGAAAAGCAAGCCAAAAGGCCGAACTATATTATCAATCAGCTAACTACTCTAATCTCTATTTCTTTGTCAGATGCAGTAGATAACCACAGGTCCTTTAATGACAAACATGGTTTCAGTGGTAAACGTGAAATACAGCCTGAAGAGGATATAAAAGCAGGTAATGAAGCTCTGAAAACCAGTAGAGTTAATTTGTTATGTGTAATGATTTACTTACTGTCTTTGAGTTATTCAGCTACTTCAAAACAAGGTTATGCCTGCACGTGGAAACAAAAGTCTCTTTAAAGATAAGCAAGAGAGAAAAAGGACAAGAAGTGTGTGTGTGTGTAGTTTTTTTTTTTTTAAAACATACTTATATTTAAATAGCTCAGGGACTGCCCACTACTTGTAAAGTAACAAGCTTGAATGATCTTTTTTATTTATGTACATTCAAAATAAGTATTTCAAACTTTGTCCTAGACACTGAAGTGATCTCCTTTTCATCAGCAAAGAAGGGAGATCGTAAAGGATTTGATTCATAGGAAAAGCTATGGCAACTGGCAGCTAGCCTAGTCTAGACCTGAAGTCTGACATCTAAACTGTATGGTCTTGTTTGGTCACACGGTTCTTCAACATTTAAAGAGTTATGTCCCATTATATTTTCAATTTAAGGATCTATTTTAGATACCTATTTTAAACAGCTTTTAGTAAGACCTAGGAACACCTGTTTCTTTCTCCTGATGGTAAGAAACTAAATTGCTGCAGATCTCTAAGAGAGACAGGATGAAGCTCATCCCCTGATTGGCAGAGCAGTCAGGTTCCCACCTCAATAAAAGCAAGCAGTACTTAAACATAAGTATTATTACATGTTCATCCCTCCGTTAACAGCAAATAGTAGCAAATAAAGAACTATATCCTCAAATACCAGCATAAAAATATTTTCCCAATCAGAAACACGAAAGGAAGGCAGCGCTTGTGCTGCCTTGTGAGCTGCACTGTTGGATAACATTGCCAGTAGTGGACATACTCTATAAACAAGCTGTCAGTGTGATCTTTATGTTAAAAGCTATGGAAATGCAAAAGGAATTGCTTACTATTTCTGTGAGGTACTGCTGCATGTCCACAATTATCAACAAACCTACTGAATGAACCTGTCTGGATGAAATAAGGAAGAGGAAAATCTATGATTTTAAGGTTTCAAGCACTGTTCTTTAGCAAAATTTGTGCTCAGTCTGAAGTTCCTTATGTAGTTTCTATCAAAACAAGATTTTAATATAAAATTGGATAAGGTATTCAGAATTTAAAAAAAATTTTTAGTTACATTCAACTGATTCTCAAACAAAGTCTTAATGGCAATCTACTTGCAAACTATTATTCTAGAACTGATGAAATGGGCTGTACTCTGTTCCTGAAGGAATACTGCAGAATTTACAAGCTCTCGAGACAATGTGGAACACTAGATCAAAAAAATCTACCAATAAAAACTAGGGAAGTTGCTAATCTGCAATAAATTTTGACCATAACAAAAACAAAATTAAGAAAAAAGTGAATAAAAATACAAATATAACTAAGGTAAGAAATATCAACATGTTCATGCTAGCTCAGTGGAAGACAAGATATCAAATTCAACTTTAAGGCCTATTCAAATGGCCTTAAAAAAAGCATGACCATTAAAGTGTCAAAGCAGCTTTTACACAGCAGCAACATGTAAAGCTCGTCAACTTTAAGTCTGAGAGTCACAACTACTTTTCGGTTCCTTTGCCCTTCCATGGAATGTCTCTTTGTATAGGACAAAATATTGCCCTGACATTTTCCATTAATGATTTTAAGGATTTCTTTTTTTAATGAGATGTTTTTTTCAAGTGCTTACAAAGTTAGACATGATAGTACATACATTAAACTTTTATCATGTTAACATTAAATAATAACCAACAGATTTTCTAGGCAATCTTGGAAGACCACTGGCTGATGAAAACATTGTCCGCACAGTAATCGAATTTTTGACTTACTTGCATCTTAAAGGTTAGTGAATGTCTTTTAAATCTGGTTACAATTAAGAGAATCACTAGAGATATGATTCTGTCAGTCTTATTAGTGTAAAAAATATTAAGAAATAGGACTTTTCCTGAAAGTACAAGGCTTTCCTACCCATTTGTGTGTGCAAGAGCATCTCTGGAGAAGGCTTGTCAGTTCCATTTTAGTACAGTGCAGGTGAACGAATCTCCGACCCATTTGATTCCTGCGGGGCACTGTAAAAATAACAATATCTACTGCTAAAATAGTATGGACCCAAGTCTTAGAAAAGCTGAAAACACAGACTACATATAGTCTGAGTACAGGGTAGACAATAAATTATTAAAAACCTAATTATCAAAAAGTATTAAAACTTATTGTCAAGAACAGTTGGTGGAGATTCCAAAACATTTATTTTCATGATGAAGACTTTCACCTCCCCCTTCTGTATGTATTCTACAATAAAGTACACTGTAACATTGTAAAAACTCAGCTGCATGTTAATAAACAGCTCAAAATGCTGCTATTTAAATTCTCTTTGGAGTCATGAGTATTGTGACAAGAATTGTGAAATGGAGCTTGGAGCTGATTCTATAAGAATTACAGCTTTTATTATAGCATGAAGTGAAAGGGAAACCTGACTTATGAGACTTTTTTAATCAGTTATGAACTTATGAATTAAGTTCTCAAAAAAAAAAAAAAAACCCTAAAGCAAACAATTTTGTAACTTTTCCAGCCCTCTTAAGCTCTTGTCTGCAAAAAAAAGTACTAACTTCTTGCAAATAAAATAATGGGGAAAAAACATATTGTCAGTGTAACTATTAGACTGAGGTTCTCTGACTCAGGCAGCAGACAATTCACTAAATCTGTAACTACTATATTCCTACCTTCACCTGTAATTACAACCAATTTTGTAGCAAAGGTGCATATTGTGGAATAATACCGAAGAGCTGTTACATTTGTTTTTTTAATTTCAATATTAAAAGAAGGAACTTATATTTATCAATTTCAAGCTATATATCTTTGGAAGGAAACTCTAGCCATCTTTGTCACCACTTTCTAAATGATTTGCACCCATCCAAACAAAATAATTCTCTCTACAGAAAGTGTCAGCTGGGTGTTTACTAAACCAATTTTGCATATGCTACAGGAATTCCTTATGCTTAATACACAAAAAATATGTGAGAATGTTGCCATTGTATGAAGACCCTAACTCAAATATATATTTAAAGCAGTTTAATCATGTATATTTACTGTTGGGCAAAGAAGAAATTTACTATATGGTTACTGTGCCACTATAAGGAAAAAGGAGCCCTAATCATGTAGGGCTATAAAAACATTCAGGGTGTAGAAATATCCTGCTATGTGAGCTCAGGAAACGAATCTAATATGTGGGCAAATAAGAGTGGTTGTGAAACCTGTTGAGCTTTAAGCTCTGTACTCTGATGTGCAGGCTAAGAGCTGTTGAGATAGGCAAGAAAAAATACATATCCTAGAAACTACTTCACCAGCTATTTCTTTCCCGGGACAAGGGAGCAAAACAGGCTGCACTGTAACCTGCATAATGACAGTTCCCTCTTTAGGAGCAATGACATACAGCTCCTTCTAGCCAGAATAGACTGTATTGCTACCATTAGCTTCAGAATAAGTGGAAAAGAAACCTCCAAATTACATAAAATGGCTTTTCCCTGAGACAGTTTTGTATACCCAGGTAACAAAAGACACAATGTTATAGCAGTCTCTGCTAAAAACTCTTGCACAAAATCAGAAATTTGGATTTTCAGGGTGAAAATCTTTGCTACAATACTAGTGTTAACATAGTAGAGATGTTTTAAAACTTCCTAAATTTCACTGTGCTACATTAAATACATTTAGTCAAAATATTTTTCACTTGGAAAAACAATCCTGAAAATGGCATTTGGGGAATGGTAATTCCAATTAGACATAAATTTTCATCTGCAACACAAAGTGAATATTTAAACAGATACTTACATATTTGTTAATTCTCAGATTTTTCTTTTTCTTTTTTCTTTTTTTTTTTCTTTTCTTTTTGCAGAGGCGGGAGCATTTGACAGTCTACCTTCAACAGATGAAACAAACCAATCTTGAAAAACAAAAAATAAAAAACTCTTATTTTGTTGTAAATTTAAACTGAATTCTAAACAAAACAAAAGTTCCAAATGACCAAAAATGAGAATTACTGGTTACAATAATCTGACAAATGGCAAAAAGCTTTATGACTTCTTGTTTTTTCTTTTTTTTTTTCTTTATTCTTTTTTTCTGTGACATTGCATTGTAAAATTTTGTCTTGGTAAAATTTTGCTGTAGGTAAATGATAAAATAAAAATAAGAAGCAACTACATTTGGATTCATTTCCCTTTGAGTGGAATTTTAAAACTAAATACATAACAGCACACACTACCTAGTATGCCAAACCCAAGTTTGTTTATTTAGACTAGAGTGTATCTATATTAATGAAAATTATAGTACAATAAAGAAGTTTTGCCTATTAAACACTTCAGCTGAATGATTCTGAGGACAATGGTGTGACTGACTGCTGCTACACAGTCTTTTTATGGCACAGAGCTGGCGTGCCTGTATTCTTTGAGACATGGAAAGCTTCCTGCCCATGTTTTCATTTACATGAACTAGGTTTACATTTCCAGGTGCCCATTTCATATTATTCACCTGTAATAAACCAGTCCCAGACTGTCACTAAGGGATACAAATGTAACTGTTCTGCACAAGTTCACACAAACCGTTTTAAACAAAGGACTAGTTACACAAGCTCTGTGCTTCCTACGATGCCTACCATACCGGTTCTGTGCCCTTTAAGTGTTTAATTTGGAAGTAGGCATCCTCATTAAGAGCTTCCATGCACCACAATCAGAATGTTCTGCCCCTACAGAATAAATATTGCATAAAGATTAAGAAAAAGTTTGAAAAGATGCAAAATTTTATTAATGCTCTTCACATCTAGATGACACACTTGCTGAGCCATAGTGTGATGAAACTCTGTCTTTTCAAACTGTTGCTTACCAGAGCACACAAACTGACAGGAAATTTCACAGAGCAACTATTACATAACCTGTTTTTCACTTTTATCATAGCTGAATATGTTCTAGAAGCCAAGCCATTAGTGGCTAATTTGAAGCCACAGGGCTCACCTTGTCAATCAATTTGTGCTGTCCCTTTGATAATCACCCAGTCTCTGATCTAATCTCCCGTATTATCAGAGTACATTTTCCATCAGATTCAATGGGCTTTCAAGCAAGAGCTTTGCAGAGTTTTACCTTGTGGAGTTTTTCTTTTTTCAGAACGTGTAATAAAAAGTGTACACTGAAAGTCCTGCTGACGCTACTCTATTTGAGAAATTAGTGGAATTCCAAAACTTACAAAAAGAATAGAATCAAAAGTAACTTGCATATATTAACATAATTCAGGAGTTTCAGGCTCTCACCAGCAACAGTCAGATTTCCAGTTAGAGACCTGATCAGAGCCTATGAAAACCGAGAGGATTCTTTCCACTGACCTCTGTGGAGTCTGGTTCTGAACTGCTAAAAAGCAGTATGCATTTGCAGCACTCAGTCACAAGACATCTTTCTATAAAAAAGCAACTGAATCTACGATCAAATAAAGAGAACACGATCCTACCATTGGTTAATATTGTTATTTTCTAATATTAATTTGTTTTCTTGTTACATAAGACAAGAACTATGTGTTAAAATGAACAATTGATATTATTTAAGTCAAATTAGCACACTGTCAACCACATTAAAGTTAAAATGCATCCTGCATGGTGGAAGATGTATTTTGTCAACCTCATTGCAATGCAATGGTTGGTTAAAATTCTTTGCAGTGAAAAATCTCATGAGATCAAGTTCCTGGGAAGATTTCCAACAGCATCTAGGCAGGAAGTCTCACAAGATCTTTACACTGCTCTGTTATATGCACAGATTATAAAAACACAAAGAATCATTTCTGTTTAATTGCCTAAGATAGTGCATACCCTTTCACATTGTGATTATCACATTGAAACTCATATTCCAAAATACAGAGAGATATAATTTGTAAAGTTTCTTTATCCTCCACTGCTCTTAACTTTCTAAAATCAAAGGAAAAGTGGTAAATGGTGGGTTTTTTTCCTATGCCAATTTCAGTAACACTCTTATTTTATTAATGTTCTTATTTATTTATTTAAAGAAATTCTTACATCTCCATGTCTCAGATCTAAAGTCATAAATAGTTGGATAAATATCTCTATAATCAGTCTCTCAAACAAATATCGGATAAAAGACAGCCTTATTTTACTAAAGAGGCTCTTATTTTACTAAATTGTCCATTTCTGCCTAACATATCCCACTTCTGCACAGTACTAGATCAAACATATCTGCATTCAGGACAAAAGCTGAAGGTTAAAAAATGAGTAAAATTTTGCTGTAATGTTTGTCTATGATAGGAAATTATTCAGTGGTCAAACTTAGAACCAACAGCGAACAGGAGGCTTGCTGCTTCTGAGAGACCAAACAATAAAATGGCAGGTGATATTAAATACTGACACAAGGAGAGAAATGCACGTGGAGAAAAACAACCTTCATTTTACCTACATGTAATAGTAGTCTAAATTACCTCAGGGAAAAAAGTATACACTCACTGCACTCGGCCCTCTCGAAATTTCGCTTTAAACCACTGTGGCAGTTAAAAGGCAAAATGGAATGTTAGGAATTATAATGAAAAAAAAAGCCGAAACAACCCAGAAAACATCCCTATACCACCATGCCCAGCTTGGACACCAGTTGACGTTCTGGCCGCCTCACTGCAGGTAAGAGTCCTATAGAACTAGAAAAGCTATAGGAAAAGGGCTGAGTATCTTCAGTGCCAGGGATTTATAGACAGATTAAATAGACCGGACTCTTCATCTAGAGAAAGATTAAGGGGAGAGTTGACAGTCTGGAATGTCACAGAGAAAGGGCCTGGGGAATTCACTCCCTGTAACCAGGAATTAATGACTCACCTGATGAAAGTATCAAGCAACAGGTTTTGGATCGCATCCCAGAGAAGTCCTTTTTTGTGTCCTCTATAATGAAATCAGGGTGCTGATAGGTGCAGTGCATTGTGGAAGCTTCACATGTTCTGAGAGGAAACAGCTAAATTCATGGAAGAAAAGTCCATCAAAGGCTGCTGGTCCAAGCTGGTCCAGAAAGCCCCAGATTGAACTGTTTCTTGGAACGTTATTGACATTTGCATGCACAGAGTTACAAAACCGCCCTTACAACATGACCCACAGTTCAAAGTTAATTAAAGATTCCTCATGTGCATAGCATCCCACACCAATTTACAAAGGAGACTTAAAAATCCCAATTTTTTGGCTAACAATTCTGCAGAAATTAATACTAAATTTAACCCCCCCCCCAAAAGTATGCTTTTGATACAGTGCTCTACCTATAAGGTAATCTCACCGAGACTTTTTAAAATGAAGATTGGCTTGCTGTAGAAGAGGCTATTTCCAGTGGCAGGGCTGAGATAAAACAGACTGTTCAGATGAGGAAGTCATTACGCAGCTGGCAGGATATGTGTATTTTCCCACCTGTCTCCTCACGTAAAGGTCAGACTGCATAAAAATTAGCATACAAAAATTAGATAGGTACTCAGCATACGGAGAAAGCTTGATACTGGGATCAACATACATCTGCTTTCAAGCTCAGTATTATACCAGTTAAAAAGGAACTATAGTCCCTTCTGCCTGACCAGCACACTAACAGAGGGGACAGAGCGGCTCAGAGTTAAGTTAGTTCACAAAAGGTTCTAACAACTAAGCTGTTCTTTTGCCTTTTGAGCAACATTGATCATCTGTACACTAAAGCAAGTAAGAGTTCTGCTGCTTCATTTTGTGAGGAGCGAGCATGGACTGGGGATTATGTGTATCTTGACTCTCTAGAGGAAGAAGCAGCTCACAGACTGCTCTACTATTCAGACTCAGTGCTTGGGTGTGTGAATGTCAGTCAGGCTCAATATTTAATATCTTGCCAAGAAAGGCATTTGTAACTTCGTGTGCAGCAACAAGCGCTTCACTGACCTGAGCTTTGCAAAGTCACAAGTGAATTACAAGGGAAGAATTATTTTACGTCCTTCCTTTTAAAGCACTACTTTTCTCCCAAATATGCATTCTTGGAGTCCTTGAGATGCAGCTCATGTATATCCCATCATCTGTGCTATTTCCGTCTGACTTGATTGCTATAGATTCTTCACCGATTAAGTACTCTCAATTACAGAGCCTTTCTGACTGCTAGGGGACATTCACAACTCTCGTACAGAATATCTATCTCAGGGGAAATTCTGGAAACACATTTGGGAAATTACCAAAACACATTCCCAAAAGATTTAAAACTGAGGCTGTGATCATTCATGTCAATGTAAGTGCCCATCTCACATTTGTAGAACTAGTATTCTTTGCTTGCTATTTGTTCAGATTTCTATGCAGAGGGATCGTATCCTGCTTTGCAAAGGTCCTTCTGCAGCTTCAAGATAAAATCAGAATTTACAGCTACACATGCAGGGCAACCCTTCCCACCAACTTCAGGCCCATAACCTGACGAAGGGAGCTGGAGAACTTGAAGAGGACAGTTCTGCTATGTGGAGATGTGAATCACCTTTTCTCTCTGCTGGCTGAAAAATGAGCCTGGCTCAGAATTCAGAGGAAGTTTTTCCATTAGGTGCTTTCCCTGGCTCCTTCAAACTAAACAAGACGAACGCAGGCCTTAGGTCTTAGTTACAGGTAAAATAACCATGTTTTTACAGAAAGGTATAACACATTTGTTTAAGTATCACTATTTTTTATGATACTTAAAGTATCACAGAACAGTTTAGATCTGTACATAGCAGATTTTGCACTGAATGTATCTTCAGAAAAAATGGCTATCGTCACTCTCATTCTGCGCACTATTCTCCTCCTTCCCAGCAGCCGCACAGTACATTATTCACAAAATCCTCTTGTCATTTTATGCCTTCAGAATCCTCCACTGATTCGAAGAGGCCATTAAAAAAATGATATTGTTTCTCTTGATAATTTAGAAATGTGCCCTAATCTGTGAAATCTTAATTAATTTCAT